AGAACTTTTATTTATGCTTATTTGTTTTACATGCTTTAGATTTCTCTTTAATTTCATGGTGAATCATAACCCACATGTTTTGTTAATTTTCACATTATTGTGGTTGTCATGCAGTGCTGATGTGGACCTGTGTGACTACAGGTTCACATCAGCACAAATAACATGTTTACATGATCTCATTAAATGCTGGTTGTTAGTTTAACTTCAAATTTATTCAATAACATATTTCAGCGGTTTTGTTGAAGCTTGTGTTTGTTGTCTCATTCAGGATAAATAAAGTTCATCTCATATGACCTCACTGAGATCAAGCTTTGCAGGATTCTTTCAAACAGGCCTGATGTTTGTGTTTAAACAGTCACACTTCATGATGTTGGGGAACAAATCTAATGATTAACCATCAATAATCTCACATGTACCTGGGTTGTCTCCAGTGAACGCCACCACACTGCAGCTCTCAGAGAAACCGTACCGATGCACAAAGTAGGAGGAGACGGGGCCCTGCAGACAGGCAGACCAGAATGTCACGGACCATCATGAGCACAAAAAAGCTCACAATCAGTGGAAACATTAACTTGTTATCCCTTTGATCCAGGTGATTGATAGATGGATTTTTTGTCTGCTTATTTTGTTGGTTTTTGTTTTTTGCCCTTTATCACCGTCCCTCTCCCCCGCTGTTTTTCTTTCCCTCTTTCTTTCTCCCCTATTTAGCAAGTGAAAATAAAATAAAATAAACAATATGGAGGAGTTGTACTTAAATCTTCTGCATTCAGCTTGTCCTTGGTCATGGTTTCCTTCCACTCATAGCTTTGCAAAAAGTTGCGTAAAAAGAACTTGCAGCAACAAAAACATAATATTCCAGAAACAGGCTTTGCCGATCCGATCAGCTGTTCGTAACACTTCCTACGTTACCGGCCCGAAACCGGAACTGATGTCGTTTTCGCGTAAAATTTATTTTTTTCCTTTAGGGCGTTTACAAAGACATGCTGGTGTTTTTAAATTAATGTTTGAGTTCCTGCCTTTCTGAATAGTTTCTGGGATGCAGATCTCAGAATGCACTGCTGGTTTCTTCAGAAATTTGCATTATAATATTTATTTTCATTTTTCCTGCAGTTTATAAAAGTTGGTGTATTTCAAAAATAAAACTTTGAAGACACTCAAAATAAATTTCCTGTGGCTGGAAACTATTTTGTGCAACTTTTTTGTATTTACAGTTTTGAGGGATAAGCCTCTGAAATTTCTGCAACTGGAAATATATGTTAAAAAAAACAAAAATGATTTTCAATTTGTTTGTAGTTTATTGCACTTTTTTGCAATTTATGTAATTTCTATGAACTTAATGCACAAATATTATTAAAATTGGGGCTGTAATGGTTGTATTGATGTATAGCAACTTGAAATGCTCCCAAAGTGCCACTACAACATGTAAAATATAAAGATGGTGGACTTGGCTCTGTGGTTTTCATGTGTATCCATATTCAGTGATATAGCTGGAAATTAACTACACATATAATTCTTCTGTTTCTCTTTTTTGACATATTTCTCAAATAACCTATTTTATCATATTTATAATAAAACTGTAAATTCTGTTTTTGCTGTGACACCTGAATACTTTTAGTGGCCCCCGTGTGGCCACCCCATGAAAACATTCTGGAGGCTCCCCTGCTTACCAGCACAGATGTGGAGGGCAGTGGAGCTCCCAGCAGCTGGTCCAGGTGAGGAGCGGTGGCCTGCAGGCAGATCTCAGACCAGTTTCTGGTCCTGATGTCCAGCAGATTCATCCCTGAGCCTGAACAATCGATCAGTGGGTTCATTGATTAGCTGATGGGTGAGAGACCCTCAGAAAGCGACGAGCCACACAAACCGTACCGTCGCTGTAGTCGATGGCAGCGTAACCACCGAGGAAGAGAGAGGCGGCAAAGCTGCTGACCAATGAGATCCTCTGAAACCAAAAACACACACGTTCATCAGGTGTGAGGAAACAGCTGGAGGTGGGACTGTGCAGGTGCAGTGACGCTCTCACCTCGGTGTCCTGCAACTCCTCCGCTCGGGTCTGACGCAGCTTGGCGATCTGGTTTCCTGTGAAACGCTGCAAACACACGGACGCGTCCTTTAAAGCTCTTTAACACACACACACACACACACACACAGATGTGGCACAGCTGGACCTCGTAGGCTCTGGATCCGGTGATCTCCGCCAGCCTCAGAGCGCCTCCTGCTGCCGCCTGCAGGTCCTCACACTGCTGAGTGCTGCTCGAGTCCATCCACACCGGACTGTCCGACACTGAGAAGCTGTCCTGAGGACGCAGCAGCACACCGAGTCAGCATTTAACCCCCCCACCCCCCCCCCCCCCCACACATCACACAGACACACACACACACACGCACCTGCAGCAGCTGGTGCAGGTCCTGGTCCGGGTCCAGATGTTTCAGAGTCTCAGACGCTCCTCTCCTCCAGAACACGCTGCCATGTTGCTGAGAGACAACACAAGTCAACCAGACTCCATTCACTTTTCTTCAAATTTTACAGGCTGGTTCCCGCCTCCTGCCAGGTGATGGCAGTGTGCTATATGATCAGAAGTATGTGGACACCCAGTGAGCAGCTCCCTCTGAGCTGCACATCACTCAGCAGCTTTGATTTCAGCAGGTAAATGTTTAGCGAGCACAAAAGTGCTTCAGGATTTACTCCGAGTCACACGTGCTGATGGGAAGTCGTGCAGTTAGTGTGACACGATGCTGTCATGTACACTGAAGCACTTCATGAGAAAACCACCACACTCCACTCATTCTTCTCCAGATTTTAGTGGAAATTTGTTTTTAGTGTTTGCTGCTAAAAACAGAAACAAGACTGAGTTCATAAAAACAGAAGGTTTAATATGACATCTGCGCTGTGATCAAAAGTATGCGGACACTCCTGGTTCTCCTCGTGTTAAACAAGCTGTTCACTTTAAATTTGCACCTGAGAACATCAAACGGTTTAGAAATATGAATTTTTGGACTTTTTAGGACATTTGAGTAACTTCATACTGCACCAGAAGAACTTTGTACTGTGGATCAGCTGACAGCACAAACTGTCTGAACTTCCTGTTTCCCTCAGCACGAGTGGAGGCAGCACGTTAATAAGCACAGAGTCACACCTGTCCAGGTGTCCACATATTTCTGCTCATACTGCAGCACCCGTCCTGTTCATGCTTCACAAATTATTGGACATTTATGCCAAAGTCTAACTTTAACCATCACCTGACCGCTGCCTGACAGCGCTCTGACACGGGAGAAGTCAAGCCCCGCCCTCTTCATCTTGTCCAATAGCAGGTCCAGAGCCTGGAGGTGGGGAATAGCCAATCACAGAGACACAAACACAGGTCAGCAGTCAGCTGATGAACCTCAGCGTGAGGTAATAGTTTAACAGGTGTGTGTGTTACTGTGTGTGTGTTACTGTGTGTTACTGTGATGTTACTGTGTGTGTGTGTTCTGTGTGTGTTTGTGTGTGTGTGTGTTACTGTGTGTGTGTGTGTGTTACTGTGTGTTTGTGTGTGTGTGTTATTCTGTGTGTGTGTGTTTGTGTGTGTTTGTGTGTGTGTGTGTTTGTGTGTGTGTGTGTGTGTGTGTGTGTGTGTTGTGTGTGTGTGTGTGTTTCTGTGTTTCTGTGATGGTGTACTGTGTGTGTGTTCTGTGTGTGTGTGTGTTGTGTGTGTTACTGTGTGTGTGTGTTACTGTGACTGTTACTGTGTGTGTGTGACAGAGTGTGTGTGTTCTGTGTGTTACTGTGTGTGTGTGTTACTGTGTGTGTGTGTTCTGTGTGTGTGTTTACTGACTGTGTGTGTGTGTATTTGTTATAGAGCCCTGAGTTTCTGTGTGTTACTGTGTGTGTGTTACTGTGTGTGTGTTAGTGTGTGTGTGTGTTACTGTGTGTGTGTTACTGTGTGTGTGGTTACTGTGTGTGTGTGTTACTGTGACTGTTACTGTGTGTGTGTTACTGTGTGTGTGTGTTACTGTGTGTGTGTTACTGTGTGTGTGTTACTGTGACTGTTACTGTGTGTGTGTCTCACCTTGACCCACATGAGCACAGGTGAGGTGACAGTGAGTCTGTCAGTGTGGATATGAACTCCTCCCTGAGTCCTGAGAGCAACAAACACACCTGAACTGTCAAGACTTTCAAAATAAGACAGTGGCTGGAATCCTTTCACAATAAAAGCCTGCCAGTCACCCTGACAGGTGTGAGTGTGACTCATGAAGCCTTCCAGCTGATGCTGTCAGGTTTATATGATCTATACCTGAATTCGGGCAGCTCGGCGTCAAACTGCACGCCGCTCTGATGAACCACACGCAGCTCTCCATCGATGACCACCGCCTTCAGCTTCAGGAAGACATGAAGAGGAGCAGAGTAAAGACAGAGCTGCTGATTGGACGGTAAACCTGGGTTTAAAGTGCAGTGGAGGGGGCGCTGATGTCACATGTTAGGAGGAAATGTGAGCAGACTGTTTCAGACTGTTTCAGGAAACCACGGACGAACCTTCATCTGAACCATTGAAGCTCCGCAGGACTTTTACTTTGAAGGGACTGTTCCTGTTTCATTGTTTCATGAAGTTGAGCTGATGAAAGTTTTAGTGGTTGTAAAGAAAAAGGATGATTTAGATAAGCGATGAATGAAGTGAAGAAGAGGATGGTGCAGCTGGAGGTGCTCGCTGTCTTTATACAACTAGGATCTGATAATTGTTGTACTTCCTGCTGCTGTCTCGGACACATCCGTGTGAAAACTGACATTTTTACTGTCACTCAGACTTTTCAGGGATAAATGAAGGAAAATGACGTCATCCTGTTCACAGAGACGCTGACAGGTTATCGGCCACGTCACTGACGCCAGCTTAAACACCTGAAATAGCATTTTAGGCTTTATGAGCTCAGATTCACTGATCAGCTTCATTTCCTCTTATTGATTATTGGAAACGTACCGGACGTCAGCAGCTCTGTGACAGCTTCTGACGTCATCGACCTGTTTCAATCTGCGAGTGCACGCGGGTCAAAACCTATCCGATCAGCTGGACTCTGTACGAGAGTACGGAGTCCAGCTGAGACAACAAATCAAACCTTCCGCCGTCTCCACGTTCTGCGCCTGCGCACTAAAGTCCGTTATTTTACTGCTACGTGCACGTGGACAGCATGTCACAGCAGACTCCGCGCAGGTGAAGGAGGGACAGGTGAGGTGCTGTTACCTGCTGCGTGCTCAAGTCAAGGCCCAGGTAGAGAGGAGCGCGCGGAGCAGAGGCCATGAGCGCGAGGAACCACACAGGAGGAGGAGGAGGGGTCCAACGTTTAGTGACACAGCCCACAGGCTCCTCCTCCTCAGCGCAGACTCCGTGTTCATGCTTTTAAAGGGACAGTTCACCCAAACCCTTTAGTTCACGTCACAGACCGACATGGTTCAACATGGCTCAGCCAATAGAGTGGACAGGGTTTTGGTAGATATTTTAGTATTATGGGAGCATTTACTGGGTACTTTTTTTGATGATATTAGACAGAAGATTCTGTGACTCAACAAGGCAACAAGAAAGTAGATACTAAGGTTGGAGGGAAAACACCAACAAATCACTCTTTTACTTATCACTCCCTTGCAGAAGATGTTTATGTGAAGACCATCTGGGTTGTGTCAGAACTCACGGATGTAGGAGACCTCTGTATAAGATTTATAGGCCTTGAGAGTGCATCTTACTGCAATTGTAGAACAAAGGATTCTAACTAGTGTTTAACGGACCTGTCAAAGGTATGTTGAGATACGATTGTAGAAGGCCTCTTTCAGAGCTGGGGGACCTTCCTTATATGGTTTTAACTTGAAACTTGTTGACACACGAACTTTCTGCCTATAAATACTGCTGCACAAAAGAATAAAACTTTGAGTTGATTTTGGGAAAGCAACCTGAACAGTCTCTGTATCATTTTGTTCTCCTAACTGCTCCCGACGTCGTAACTAACCCGCTGACGGCATATCTGAGTGTTACTTAAGAATAATTTTGAATCTTATAGGGTAAAGACAAAACTCTGCTTATAGACGCCCACGCCTCGGGGAAACCCGATCCACGGACCAGACCCGGGACGAAGTTTCTTTCAGGTTTATTTGTTGTTGTCGGTAGCAACGAGGCCTACGATGGTGCCAGAGCACATGTTGAATCAGCACTATGGGCAGACTTCACACAGTGACAGTGTGGAAATGGAATAAAGGTGAGTGTTATCTGAGGTCCATGGACACGCCTCCAGGTCACATGATGGATTTAATCTGACACAGCAAGGAGTTGCAGCCACGCTGAGTCTGTGTTTTAACTCCTGTTGAAAGTTCAGACTTTAAACTACACACCAGTTTGTAAATGTTACTGATCGGCCACTAAAACCAGTCATGATAAAAGAGCAGACCCAGTGTTTTTTTCTGAATCGTCACGTTTAGTTTGGGAAAATCGTCGTTTTCTAAACTTAACATCTATATTTGTATGTCAAGTTAAGAAAATCATTCAGTAAACATGTTTGTGTTTTTTTACAGTAAAATATAAGTACTACTAGGATTTTATGTTTTTGTGTGATTTCAGATCAGTTGTGTTACTACAGCATGTCAATGAAACATGGCTGCAAATTCAGACACGTGAGGCTGAGCTGAAAACACTGAAACCAAAACGGCAAAAACAAACTGTAGTCAAAGATGTCCAGTTATACCTTCATGTCAGTGCAGATTTCTGACATTTTGTATAAATTTAAGCAACAATTTAATTATTTCTAATAAAAAAAACAGTGAAACTGCACACAAACATGAAAACGTGACATCAATCTTATAAAAACATTATGTTTATTAATCAGTGATGTTTGAAAGCCTTTCCTGGTGAGTTTGATCCAGGAGGGTCTGAAGCCAGAGTGAGACAGAGACTGTGCAGAGACTGTAGAAGGACAGAGCAGCAGCAGAGCAGTCCAGATACACTGATGATCCTCTGTCAGATCCAGAGGGACACACAGGGCTGATGCTGGACTCTACATTGTGTCTGACAGTGGAGCTGTTCTCAGAGCAGTTCACGCTGCAGCACTGACAGTCATCTGCACTTCATTCCTCTGTCAGTCACTGCTGGATGAAGCTCTCCTCTCCACCTCCCAGTAACATGGCCCAGTCAGAGTGTCTCTACACACAAGCTGCTGCTGCTTCAACCTCTCTGGATCATCAGGACACAGCTGCTCCTCTCTCAGCAACACACCGTCCTGTTTACCATCATCGCCTCCACCTGTACAGAGAAGGAGGAAGAGCAGAGGAGATAAACGAGTGTTTCCAGAGATAGGGTTCATACGCTTTTTTCAGGGTCAAATTCAACCACTTTTTAAGCACTTTCAATGTCCCATTTCAAGCTTTTCCAGCACATTTATCTCAGTCTTGCAGCCCCTACTTGCGGTCCACATAATGAAAAATTATTGTTCAAAAAATTATTTAATATGAAGGCAATAGGCAGAGTGTTACAGGCACAGCCCTAAAGAATGTAGCCTTGGGCAGTGTAGTCCAGCTGTAAGTAAGCTATCAAGACTCGACTGTACGCTGTGTTCCTGTTTCCTCTGAAACAATAAGCTCCGTTGCAGCAGCCTTTCAACGCCTCTCTCTGTCTCTGCTAGCAAAG